ACCTGCTTTCGCTTCGTCATTATGGGGTAACTCAAGGTTATGGGACATCCCACAACCTTGAGACAGAGAACCAAATAGACCACATCCTCTTCTCAATACGTGAGGGCTTGCAGAGGAGCAGATGTCTCATCAGACCACACTTTAGTAGTGGCGAAGATGAGGGTGAAGATCGCAACTGCAAAAAAGATTGTCCATTACCACGAGCCCATTCTCCCCAATTAAGCTGCCACCAACCTAGTGGACGGGAGAATCCTAAGAAAACCAGACGAACAGTTGGAGAGATGAAAGGACCATTTTAGCAGCCTGCTCACTAACAAACAAGTCAAGAACCCACCCACAATTGAGGACACACCAGAAATTGACATCCATCTGGAACCCTTCACTAAGGATGAAGTTATGGACGCCATCATAAAGCCAAGAATGGCAAAGCTATTGGCTCAGACAACATCCCAGTGTAAGCTCTGAAGGCGGATCCAAGAACAGCAGCAGATACAATGCTTGACCTCTTCAACAAAATATTGGAGAGTGAGGAAGTGCCAGAAAAATGGAGGAAAGGGTACATCATCAAGCTCCCCAAATAAGGAGATCTTAGTGATTGACAGAACTGAAGGGGAATACAACTCCTGTCCCTACCTAGCAAAGTATTCACAAGACTGATCCTAGAAAGGATTAAGACCGTCGTAAACTCCAGGCTATGAGAGGAACAAGGTGGTTTTCCGAGCTGGAAGGTCCTGCATTGAAATATTGAAATGATAGCAACACTCAGCATCATAATTGAAAAGTCCCTGGAATGGCTATCTCCACCATACAGCTGCTGCCATGTTGTGTTGCTACTGTACCATGTTGTTGTCATGTTGTGTTACTACCATGCTGTGTTGTCATGTGTTGCTGCCATGCTATGTTGTTGTCTTAGGTCTCTCTTTATGTAGTGTTGTGGTGTCTCTCTTGTCGTGATGTGTGTTTTGTCCTATATTTTTATTTCAGTCCCTGCAGTAGGCCTTTTGCCTTTTGGTAGGCAGTCATTGTAAATACGAATTTGTTCTTAACTGACTTGCCTAGTTAAATAAAGTGTGAGGGGACCAAGTATTCTGTCAGTTGCACTAAAGTGGAAAGGTGCAATAAACGAGTTGGGAGCAGGTTTTTGACATAGAACGAAGTTCTCTATTGAGGTTTCTTTTCTTCTCAAACATGCTCACACAACCAAGGATGTTCTCAAAAGGATAACACAAATCTTCTTCTTTACAGGAAAAAGGACAACAAGGTGAGTAACTTTTAACTATAACATAAATCACAGGTGTGTCACCATCTTAACTATATGTTCGTGCAGAGCTCATTTCTGGTGGTGGTGAGAATCAGTGTTTGCCATTCCCAAGAGGTAGTCCGTTCCTTTCTTCTGTCGTCTGTCAGGTAAGTAATCCGTTTGGAGAATCAACACGCCCTCTTTCCACCGAGCTCCCCCGTACTACTGGTTCTCCCGTATCTTATGTAGGAGGAAGAGAATAGGTGATTAGTGCCGCCAGGTGTGCTTAACTGCCTCTTATCCCCTCTACTCACATGCTGGGCTGGGCTACTATCAGTGGGCACAGCCTGCCCCCTGGTGGTCCTTCCACATACCTCCCTCCTCAGGACTGGACCAGTGGGCCGTGCACCAGATGCGCCGTCTTGGTCGCGTCGTCTTGGTCGCGTCGTGACCATGCGTCCGCATTCCTGTTCCTCGATCCGGCCCTGTGGATGGCACGGAAAGAGAATGGTTGTAATGCAAGAAACCATCTGGCTATTCTGTTGTTATTGTTTCTCTTACCGGCCATCCACGTGAAGGGAGCGTGGTCAATAACGAGGGCGAACCTACGCCCGAGTAGGTAGTACCGGAGATAATTAAGGCCCCACTTAATGGCTAGGGCCTCTTTCTCTATGGTAGCATATCTTTGTTCCCGGTCACTGAGCTTCCTTCACCCTTAGCCAGGACGGCCCGAGCCCCGTATACGAGGCGTCTACCTGCACAATGAACTCTCGGGAGAAGTCAGGAGCCTGAGCCTGCAGGACGGGATCAGAGCATAGGCTATCTTTTAGTGACTGGAAGGCATTTTCCGTCTCCTCCTTCCTAGCTACACGGTTTGGCAGGGTTTTCTTGATGAGATTTGTGAGGGGGGTGGCAATGGTGGACGTCTCGCTTCGTCTGGGGCCGAGGCCAGTCCCGAATAGCCCTGGTCTTTTCTGCCCGTGGACGTATTTTTTCTGGATTGGCTGTTAGCCCTGTAGCCTCCAAGTTCACGAGCACCACCCGCAGTCGCCGGAGGTGGCTATCCCAGTCCTCACTGTGGATGACCACATCTATGTACGCCGCTGCATACTCTTGATGGGGCTGTAGAATGGCATCCATGAGGCGTTGGAAAGTCGCTGCGGCGCCATGCAGTCCGAAGGGCATCCTCACATACTGAAAAAGCCCCTCCGGTATGGCGAAGGCAGTCTTTGGGCGGTCCTCCGGAGCCACCGGCACTTGCCAATATCCCTCCGGCAGATCCAGGCTGGGGATGAACTTGGCCTTTCCCAAGCGCTCCAAGAGTTCATCCATGCGGGGCATGGGATATGCGTCGAACGTAGAGATGGCGTTTAAGCCCCTTAAGTCATTGCAGAGCCTCATACTACCGTCGGGTTTGGGGACCAGGACTATGGGACTGGAGCACTCGCTCGTAGATGGCTCGATCACCCTCATCCTCAGCATCTCACTTACTTCGTTCTTCGTGATGGCCGGATATGCACCTTTTTGCCTGGCTCGGTGTGGATATGGTGAAACAGGACCTCTGTTTGTCCTGGGGAGGAAGAGAATACCCTGCCGAATTGCATAATCAGCTTGTCTAGCTGTCTCGACTGCTCCGGCAGAAGATTTTGGCCACGGCGTACCTGTAGAGGGGCCTCCTTTTTTCCCTCATCCTCCACTGCCATCAAAGCCACACCCTCCTCTTTTTCATGGTACTTCTTCAGCAAGTTGATATGATAGAGTTGGTACTTCTTCCTCCTGTCGGGTTGCTTGATGCGGTAATTGATCGGTGAGAACCTCTCTGTTACCTCATAGGGCCCCCTCCACTGCGCCAGCAAGCGATGTTCGGCTGTGGGCACGAGTACCATTACTTTCTCTCCCACGGCGAACTCCCTGGATGTCGCCGACTTATCATAGGTTCAGACTTGAGTCTGTTGCACCTTCTCCATATGCTCCTTTACTATGGGCCAGATTGTCGACAATCGGTCCCGCATCAGGGTAACGTTCTATCGTCGACCGGAATGTGCAGGGTTGGGCCTCCCAGGTCTCCTTGGCTAAGTCGAGGATCCCTCGACATGGTCTGCCGTACAGCAATTAGAACGGGGAAAACCCTGTGGACGCCTGTGGTACTTCTTGCAGGGCGAACATTAAGTGGGGCAGAAGCATGTCCCAGTTTTTCTCAACATGCTTTTAATCGTCTTGTTCAGGCGTTCACACAAACCGTCTGTCTGTGGGTGAAATATGCTTGTGCGTATCTGTTGAACCTGGTATAACCGACACAGGTCCTTCATCAACGGGGACATGAACGGGGTACCCTGGTCGGTCAGTATCGTCTTGGGAAGGCCCACCTGGGAAAACAGTATGAACAATTCCTTGGCGATTCCCTTTGACGACATGCTGCGAAGGGGTATGGCCTCCGGGAACTTGGTAGTGTAATCTACGACAACCAGGATGTACTCGTGCCCTCTGGCGGATGTCGGGAGGGGTCCCACGAGGTCCATAGCTACGCGTTCGAAGGGGGTCTCTATAATGGGAAGTGGAATCAAAGGATTACGCAGGTGTGGCCGTGGGGCCGTACACTGACATTGATCACACGTCCTACAATACCTGGCCACATCTCGAGTGACACGGGGCCAATAGAACCTCTGCATGATTCTGTTGATCGTTTTGTCCCATGCCAGGGGTCCTCCTAGGACGTGGGAATGGGATAGCTGTAGGACAGTATCCCTATATGGTCTAGGCACCATTAGCAATTCCTGTTTCCCCCCCTTCGTTGCATGACCCAATACAAGAGACCCCGCCTGACCGCATAGTAGGAAAGAAAGGGCTCACCTGATCCGTCAACGTTTCTCATGTCGATCACCTTCACCTTCCTCATGGCGTCCTGTATGTCTGGGTCTCTATGCTGAGCGGTGCCGAACTGTCCCTTTAATTCTTGGGGCAGGTCAACCTCTGTAGAGGGGGGTGGAGGTTGTTCCCAATCGCCGTCAGGGGTGCCCGAGGAGAATCCCTTCCATGTTCCCTCCTCTGATGGTGCTTCAAAAATATCCCTTAGCCTCTGTTCGCTCCTTCCTCCCTCCGTCATGTGCAACCCTTCGTAGGTGTCTTCATCAGAGGTTTCCTGGAATAGCTGTCTGAGGCATTGGGTCTGTATTTCTTCCTCTGCTCCAGAGGACGAGGCTGAGGCTACGTTCCCTTGTAGGGCTACTACCTCGGGCTTGGACTTTGTCATTTTTTCCCTCTGCTTTCCTGTTAACCTGTGGTGGGCCGGACCTTGGCATGTGATAGTGAGACATGGTCCCCTTTGTTCGGTGCGTAAAGTTGTCTGCCGCTGCTCCTTATATAGGGGACAGTCTCTCCCGATCAATAATGGCACCTTCAGCTGGGGTACTTTCCCCGCACTGACTGTACACCTTCCTTTTGGGGTGAGAATGGACAGACTCACGGTGAGGTAATAGTATGTCTCCATGGATACAGGACACAGCTACTTTGTCTGGTAGAAGTGTTGCTGTGGTCACCATCTGCTCCTCCACTAATGTAACCATACTTCCTGAGTCGAGAATGGCTACCACGTCTTTCTATTCGAACCGGAATCTCTGGGGCTGGGGCTATTTCTGCTAACCAACAGGGGTGATCATGTTCTCTCATATAGGGACGTGTGGGTATGGGCAGTGGTGACTTTGTGGGCATGGACTCATCATTTCTGGGACATTGTGGGGCGTAATGGTCCGGAAACTGGCATTTATAGCACCGACCCTGTTGTATGGGTGATGACTTCTCCCCCGTCCGGAGAGGGTTCGGTCGTTTCGCTGGTGGACGTGCCAGGGTTGTTTCGGGGAACGGTCTTGGTAGTGTCCTTCCGGTCCTCCTTGCCCCCTTTTAACAACTCCCATGTAGATCGGTACATTTCCACAGCCTGGGCTATGTTGTCTGCTGACAAGTGGTTAGTTTGCCCCACAACCCTTTTTAAGTCCATGGGTAATTCCCTCAAAATCTTGTCCACGACGAGAGTCTCTACAACATGTCCTACTCCCTTTCCGGGTTCCAGCCACTGCTTCGTGAGTCGTATAAGCACGAAGATCTGGGCCCGCACGGGTTGGTCTGCCATATAGGTCCATTGATGGAACTTTACGGCTGAATCATGGGGGGTCAGCTGGTACCGGGACAGAACCTCAGTTTTTTGTTGCCCATAGTCAGTAGCTTCGCGAGGGTCCATGTTATAGTAGCAGTATTATAACTAAAAGCGGAGAAGCAGATGAGGACTTAAAAACAAGTATAGGAAAGGCACATGACAACGCTCAGGCCAACTTGGTAAAACACAAACATCTCACTCAAAGCAAAACTCAGCATTTTCAATCCAACATAATGGGCTCCATTTTCAGCTGGCACTAATAATAATAATAATGTTTATGAACTGACACGCAAAACGACACCGGATTCAAAAATTAGAATCTTTCAATTTAAATTATTATATAAAATTCTTGCTACCAATAGAATGTTATTTATATGGGGGATACAATCTTCCCAGCTCTGCAGATTTTGCTGTGAAGAGACAGAATCATTAGATCATTTGTTTTGGTTCTGTCCATTTGTAGCTTGTTTTTGGACACAGGTCCAGGAATGGCTAAAGGATTGCAATATTTACCTGGAGCTAACCTTGCAGATAGCATTACTGGGTGATCTGAAAAGTCATAGTCAATCAATCAATAATATAATAATACTTTTAGCAAAAATGTTTATTTTTAATTCACAATCTGTAGAAGCAATGAGAATAGAAAGGTTCAGAACTTTTGTAAAACATCACAGTACGGTTAAAATATATATGGCAAATAGAAATCCTATATGGATGGTGTTAAGAGATAGATGGGAGGTATTGAATAGAGTTGAAGGATGGGACTAATAACAAATAACAACAAATAATAACAAAGATAGCTAATAATGTAAGCATACTGTGTCCATAATAAGTATATAGGTTGTATGTTGGGAGCTTTTGGGAAAGAGCACACTTAGAAAAATATGGCATATAGAAGCAAACCGGATGGACATCATGAAAATGATTGGAGAGGTTGAGGAAGTTCAGGAGTAAAAACAAACAAAATATAATTATTGTAAAATTGACTGTGTCCATAAAATGTATATAGTAGAGGCCTAAGCATTGTTGTTCACTAGTTTACTCCAATTAGGGAAGGGGTGGTGGGGTTGGAAAGTAATAAAGGGAAAATATTTTTTTAAAGGATATGTATGTATGTATGTATGTGTGTATATATATATATATATATATATATATACACACACACTGCTCAAAAAAATAAAGGGAATACTAAAATAACACATCCTAGATCTGGATGAATGAAATAATCTTATTAAATACTTTTTTCTTTACATAGTTGAATGTGCTGACAACAAAATCACACACAAATTATCAATGGAAATCAAATTTATCAACCCATGGAGGTCTGGATTTGGAGTCACCCTCAAAATTAAAGTGGAAAATCACACTACAGGCTGATCCAACTTTGATGTAATGTCCTTAAAACAAGTCAAAATGAGGCTCAGTAGTGTGTGTGGCCTCCACGTGCCTGTATGACCTCCCTAAAACGCCTGGGCATACTCCTGATGAGGTGGCGGATGGTCTCCTGAGGGATCTCCTCCCAGACCTGGACTAAAGCATCCGCCAACTCCTGGACAGTCTGTGGTGCAACGTGGCGATGGTGGATGGTGGAAGTATATAGGTTGTATGTTGGGAGCTTTTGGGAAAGAGCACAGTTAGAAAGATATGGCATATAGAAGCAAACCGGATGGACATCATGAAAATGATCAGAGAGGTTGAGAGTAGAAGAAGTTCAGGAGCAAAGAAAAAATAGTAAGGGTCAAAAGCTTCGTTCCTCGGCGTGCACATCACTGAGGACCTGAAATGGTCTTGCAACACTGACACCATGGTGAAGGCACAACAGCGCCTATACAACCTCAGGCGGCTGAAGATATTCGGCATGGCCCCTAAGACCCTGACAAACTTTTACAGATGCACCATTGAGAGCCTTCTGTCGGGCTGGTACGGCAACTGCACCGCCCTCAACCGCATGGTTCTCCAGAGAGTGTTGCGGTCAGCCCAACGCATCACTGGGGGCACGTTGCCTGCCCTCCAAGACATTTACACTCAGTGTCAAAGGAAGGCCAAGAAGGTCTTTAAGGACCTCAGTCACCCGAGCCACAGACTGTTCACTCCGCTACCGTCTAGCAGACAGAGACAGTACAGGTGCATCAGAGCCAAGACTGAGAGACTAAAAAACTGATTTTGTTACCAGGCCATCAGACTGTTGAACAGCCATCACTAGCCATCTACCAGGTGATGCTATAGGCCTACTGCTGGCCAATCGGATGGCTCAGATTACCGTGTCTGCAGTAATGTAACAGGCATAAAAGAAAGCTACAGCAAAGTTGATACTGTGAGATTTCAAAATGTTTACAACCATGACTAGAGAGAGACTGTCAACGAATACAGCAAAGAGCTGCTGTTTTAATGAGTGAGTTCATATTTAAGTTCTTACTCAGCACTGTCAACACTTTGTATTCAACGCTTTTATAAGCCATAAAATGAGCGTTCTTCCTATTTCCACTCAGCGCTACAACAAGCACTGCAGTAATGAATGAGTAGGAAAGTGTATCGATAGGCTTGCATTGTTATTATTAGTGGCTTGGGTCTTTTTTAATATCAAGGAATATTTCACTTTCTCTGTTCATAGGAGTAACAACATGAATTTGTGCATGAAGCAAAAATAATGTGGTGCGACTCGAGTTTTGCCATCAGCTGGAAGACGGTGTTCCTTTTTGGTCAGTGTCAGTGGAGGAAAGGGAGACTGGAGGGATGTTGAGGCGGACCCTCAGTCTGCTGTTCTCTCCCTCTGCTGAGACTGACCAGAGATGCAGGCACCATCAGCCCAGTAAAATAGAAATAAAAAGCAAATTATTTGAATGTATGCTTACTCAGCTGTGCCTCACAAGTAATGCAACAACGGATCTATTACTGGTGTGATCATATAGCCTAACTCAAGTGGCAATTGTGATCGAATCAACACAATATTTGCCACTTTCAATGCAATATATCGAAACAAAACAAACTATGAAAGAGATTTTGTTGTGGGCAGAATGCATCGGAGTAGGATTCTATTGCATTGACATGCTCAGCCCGTACTCTACACAGACCGGTGTGGAATAACCAATCAGAGCTGCAGTAGGCCTATATGCAAATAGACCATTGCCATATATGGATCTGTGCCATTTACTTCGAACTGGACTGTGTTTACAGCATGAGCGGTCGTGAGTAGATGCACTTGTTTTGAGATCAAAGCGAGAGCTGCATGTAGGCATGTGTGCACATTTTGTTCATATCCTTGGATAGTGTTACGTGTGACATGTTTTTCTTTCTCCCAATCTTCCTTTGTGGTGTGTGTGTGTAGTTCAGAGTGGTTGTTCTGTTTGTGGGTTCTGGTCATTACAGGTGTGCTGAGTTGCGGCTGACGATGGTGGGCGTGGCTTCGGTCCGGAGTCCTGGCAGCTGTGGCTGATTGACTAGAGTATAAACTTTTTGCCGTGTGAGCTCGAGAAAAAGAGGGGGTACTTTTTGTTTGGCTGAGGATTTGGTTATTGGTTGGTTTAATGTATCTTTGTTTGTGTTCCAGCCTGTCCTCCTGCTTTATTCCACCCTACCTGGGTCCTGGAGAAGGGAAAGGTACAGTGGGGAAAAAAACTTTAAAAGATGAGAGATGATGAGTGTCCGTGTATGTGCACGTGTATGCATTTGAATGAGAGTGTGTGTATATGCATGTGTACAAACACCTGCGTGGCATCAGCCTCAGGCAAACAGGCAATAGCTGTAACAGCACCTCAATAGTTGAATGCCCCTCAGTGTCATTCAAACTTACTTTTGTTTTGTTTTATTTTCACTTTATTTTTTTTACTTTTATCTTTGACTGTCATTATATCCCCCGCCCAGCAACTCCACTCCCACTTGTCTCCAATTCCACATCCCAACCCTCAGCTTCCCTCAGCCCATCCCACCTATCTCTGCTGGCCACCCTCTTCGGATTTCTACGCACCATATATATATCAACTAAGCTGTGATGTTTAACATACAATTAGAATCTATCTAATCAAATAGAATCCAGAGATTGCGTGTTGAAGATAAAGACTTTTACTCAAAGTATTAGTATATTAGTATTTGACTGACCAGGTCTCTCCAGATCTCCCAACAATACTATTTCTAGGGTCAATTTTAGATCAATGTTATGCATTTTCAGCCATTCCTGAACTTGAGACCAGAAACAGGCTACCTGAGGGCAATACCAAAACAAATGGTCTATTGATTCTGTATCCTCACAACAAAATCTGTAGAGCTGCGATGATTGTATGCCCCAAATATTCAACATTTTGTTGGTGGCAAGAATTCTGTACAATAATTTTAGCTGAAAAGCATGAAGTCTTTTATATATCAACTCATACACCCTGTACCATGGAATCGGAACATCAAAAATCTCTTCCCAACTATTTGCAATCTGTGTGGCACAGCTGTCAACATCCTGGTCCTCAAATGAAACTGGTATACTTTCCTATTTATGCTATTTTTATTCCTCTGCCAGTTTGGATACTTTATATTGGGCAGACAGACCAGTTCCCTACCTCCTCTCACTGCCACCTGCCTCCTCCATTTTTGGGGTAATGCTGTAATCAATTGGTTGTAATCGGATTGAGCAGACCTTCCCATACAATTCTGATAACTCCATGAAAGACATAACTCTACCATTCCAATTTACAATATCATTTAAAAACAAAATACCCTTTTCAAACATATTTTCCATAAATACAGGTATTTTATCAGCCAGCACATTTGAGTTCAGCCTTAATATTTGTTGTAATATTTGTTCTATATTTTCAGGGGGATGAAATTGAAATTGTAGCCAGCTCTGCAATGCTTGTTTGAAAAAGAGAGATACGAAAATGAGACATGGCAATCTGCACAAAGGCAAAAAGGCACTTTTTTAACAATGGATGAGCTTTTCTTAGTAATCTACTTGAGAACCATTTAGGGTTCAAGTAAAACCTTTTGATAAGTGAAGCTTTTAGAGAGAGGCTTACTGCTTTTATATTTAGTCATCTCAACCCACCCAGTTCATATTCATTATATAGATAGGCACGCTTTATCTTGTCTGGTTTAGCATT